AATTGTTTCTGGGAAAACACACTCCGGGGCTTGTGCATTGTATTGCATTGTGTTATCCCTTTTACACTCTGTTTGTCTGTTTTCATAGGTATATATGACCCTATCTCAGATGGGGGTATGTGGTAAACTACATTATTTGGAAAGGGGTACGCAGCCTAAAAAGTTTGAAAACCACTGGCCTAGCCATTACATTTCATAGTCAAAATTGTGCCTTTAAGGCACTGGGCATTGCTGGGGATGAGGCAAAGCTTCATCACCTCAGTGGGAGGTCAAGAAGCAGGGGCGTAGCCATGAGTGGGCCGCAGCCCACCCACTCAGCATCCAGGCCCACCCAAATCTGAGTAGGGGTGTAGTGCTGCCACAGTGGCCCAGAACATCACTTGGGCACCTGAAATCCAGGACAGAGCTATGTGGCTGCCCTTCAGAAAGCTACGCTCCGGCAGCTCTGCCTTGCTGTTTTCTGAGCCGCCCCATGCGCATGCCCAGCTCAGCAGGTGAAGCCCTGTGTCTGGGGGCACCAAGGCTATGAAGAGGGCGTGGCATCGAGGGAGAAGTGAGCTAGCACAGTCTGTCATTGCCCGTCCACACAAAAGTCAGGGCCCACCCAGATTTCCACTCCTAGCTACACAGAAAGGGACAGTGCTTCTAAGAGGCCCAATGCACAAAGGTACTGCACAGTCTGCGTTGTCCTTTAGATTGATGCACTTGGCCTGATCTGTGTCAAAGGGCAGCTCTATGCCTCACTTTCTCCCTACCTCTCCCATGTGCCTCCTCTGGAGTGACATGCTCCCCTGTGAGTGCATAGAAGGAGGAGTTTCTGCCCTTCCCTGTGCACCGGGACTGCAATTGTGACTTAATCTTACACCGGCCACATATGAGTGAGTCTGGAGGTTCCTTGTACTTTCCTCTCTCTCCTCCACTCACACACTGTGATGTGAATGTTAAACAACCCCCACAGTGCCCAATCCACACAGGGTATAGGTCTGTTATGGCCCCCAGCTCTGGAGTCTGGTTCTTTAGCTCCAGTAGTAAAGATCTGTGCTTTCAGCTCTGGATGTCCATGGTTCAGTCCCCAGAGTTGGTCAAGATAGTGGCTGTCACACAGTGACCAAATTATGACAGCTTCAACAGAAGTCCAACTCACAAAGATCACCATCACAACTGGTACTAGCTGGGCATCCTGGAAGGTGTTGCACTTAGGGTAGGTGGAAGGGTTGGGAGTAATTCACAGGCATGAAGAGTTTGCTTGAGAAGCGGAAATTTATTGCAATAAGACTAAGACCATCACTTACGATAACTTCTCCTTAACTTCCTGGAGTAGGGGTCTTCTTTCTGTACTGGGCTCCTCCCAATCTTGATTTACCTTGGACCCCTTTGGGCAGGGTTGGTTTCTCTGACTCTCCAACAGTTTACCCAATCAGAAGGAAGAGTCCAGTCATCTCCCCCACCCCTTACCTCTCATTCCTTTATTTACTTTCCACGTCAGCTTTCCTGCCCCCACCAACTCTTAGAGTGGTGCTGCTGGTGTGCCATATAGAAGCCACAATGAACAGCTCCCCCAGTCAGTTTGGAATTACACCTGCCATTTTAACTTATATTTGGCCCAAACCCTCAATTTATCATTGTTTTATATGTGGTTCTGGAATATGAATATCAGTATAACCTGCATAGATGAACACCAGTATTGAAAGCATGGCCTCATTGTTCCTCTTCCCTCCCTACTGAAATGCTGTCCTTAGAATTAAAAATCACAGTAAATGAATATACTTTTTAAAATAACATTATTTTATAAATCAGCTATAAAATTTCATCATCCTAGAATTTCTAGCATTTGTGTTGGATGTCATATGGTGGCATCTTGGCTGATAGTGTGGCTCTTTTAAATAGTTACACAGGAAAACGTTCCGTGGTTGTCTCATGTAGACAAGGGATGGTGTTTTCTTTCAATGCCCATTTCCATTGGCCCTGCTGTCTCTGAGGTCTCATCACTGACAACTAGTTCAGTCTGGTCTTCTAGGCATTAAAGTGCTGTTCTGTGGTGGTAGAAGTAATCAACTCGCTGTATAATCTGGTAAAGTCTTGGCATATATCCAGTTACAGGTGCCTTCATCAGTTCACCTGCCTTCCTTTTGGATTCTTTGTATCTTCTCTTTGTTGTTTCTGTACTCCTCCTTTGTCCTTTTGGGTTGATATTCCAGCTGAAGTCACAACTGGTAGGTAATCACAAGCAGAAGATTCTAGAGAAGTACTTTTCTTGTATCTGTTTCTCTAAGGGGTTTTATCTCATATACATGGCCCTCTCTTCTTCCCTCTTCTCCAGTATAAATTGTATCCTCCCAATATCATCATCTTGTCCCTGGCTCACCACATTCACATAAGTTTCTTTCCAGGACTCTGTCTCCTGGATGCAGACAGAAAGCTTTGAGCAGTGCTTGCAATCACACTACTGAATCTCTCCTATTTTCCATAACAATTTGTAGGCCCTCTTCAGCTGTTCTCTTCATCAGTCTGTATCGTTGGTTCAGTCCCGCTCTCTATGTGGACACCAGTCAATTATTAATGGATCCCACTGCTGGAACCCATATGCTTCTAAGCCCCCTGCATCTGGGTAATGACTCATCACTGTTCCTAACCCTTGATCTCTCGGGCACACTCCTTGGTGGACCCCGGGTGTTTGATGCTATTCTTGGGCAGTGGAATATGTCCAATTGTTTAGACATATTCCCCCAGGATCCATCTGGCTGTGAGAGCTCTTGTTTCTCAGCTAACCCCTTCAGGGGCAGATGAGCCAGGAATGCAGGCTTAATAAAGGAATTTCTTAACCACACACTTTGCTCTTAAAAAGCACACTAGGGAATTACGGATGTTTGGAAAATGAGACACAGTCCTGAACGCAGCCCCCCAGGCCTGATCTCACCCTTCCTGTGAGTCCTGGGTTTGGGCAGCATCCTTAGACTAGGTAACCCTTCTTGTCTTCTTACTTGCATGTGGCAATGGTCTGGCCTCTTGCTTAGAGAAGCACCCCTCTTCACCTATGTGTTTGCTGGAGAAGTTCTAGTCTCCAGCCCCCTCCCTGGCCCCATTAGTTTCTAAGTAGACAGTCATTCAAAGTCAATGGCCCTCCTGATAGAAAATCTATTGTTCCAGTAGGGAAGAGTTCTCCAACATTGATGGCCCTTGTTTGCACAGTCTCAGCTTTTTAGAATTTTCCACCAGCTGTCAAGTCCCTGCCACAAAATGGGTGCTCTAATCTACCCTGGAGGTTACAACACAGCATGAAGGTCACACTCCAAGAAGAAAGTTAGAGTACAAAGCAGAGCTTCTGAAACAAAATGGGTTTCACAGTTTGATACAGACATATCCTCAATCTGTCACTTTTGGCATGACTATTTCCCCCTTTATTCTGTACACAGTCAAACTTATCTACAGGAAATCTTGGTGATGGGACCATACAGCAGTAAAATGGAGAATACCCATTTATGCTTGGAGCAATTATAATTATGCACTACGTAGTACAGACAGTCCTTCTGAATGTATTGTTCCTCAGACAATGTATCATTACTGAGAAAGTTCTGCAGACTCTTTCAACTGGATTCCTTGAAGATCATAGAATTGGAAGGGACCCCAGGAGGTCATCTAGTCCAACCCACTGCTCAAAGCAGGACCAATCCCTAGACAGATTTTTACCCCAGTTCCCTAAATGGTCCCCTCAAGGATTGAACTCATAACCCTGGGTTTAGCAGGCCAATGCTCAAACCACTGAGCTATCCCTCCCCCTATGGTCTGGTGGGGTGGTATGGGTGTTTTGTATCTCAGTATACGCCCCAAGTCTCTTTAAGAGTTGATTCTCAAATTCCTTATGCTCAGGGATCTTTTCAGAAAATTTAGATTGAAGGACATTCCTTATGCTTGTGGATCTTTTCAGAAAATTCAGATTGAAGGACAAAGTCTCTGAGTACTATATTGGCAACTGTTCTGCTGGATTTATTGGCTGTTGGACAGATCTGTGTAAATATAGTGAAATGATGTGTTCTCTACTTCCTTTTACTAATGTCTAAATGCAGCCAATCAATGGAGAAGGGTGGTGGCTGTAGCGCTCTGCCAAGGGTTGGTGATTTTTTTTCTAATTATTAGGTCTTTTCCATTCAACATACTGACAAACATGCCAATAACTCATCAATTTCTTTCCTCATTAGTGTCCAAAAGAATTTCTCTTGTGCCAAATGAAATACTATTCAGTCCTGAGGTGAGCCATGTTCCTCATGTAAATGCTAATAAGCCAATGTGTTTCAGTCTTATTGCAATGAAGTTTTATTACTTTTAGCATATGAATACCCGTAAGCTCTGTGTAAACCAAAACCCGGGCCAAAAACATGACCTCATCTTTCCACAGCCATACACACTATACATATGCTGTCTCATACCTAGAGGTGGCCTCTCCTGAGAAAAGGTGAGGCACATTGAGTGATGCAGTGTGGTGAAAATCTGCTTCTACCCCCTCAATAAACAGAGGAGTTCAGGCTGTAATTCCAGCGCTGTTTTTCTCCAGCACTGCATTCACTCCCCAGAAAATTATAAAGTTGATTTGGTTCTTCCATCTTTCTATTATCTGGATAGGAGTCTCCAATCAGCTGTTTGGCAGATGTTAACCAGAATCAGAGGTCTCCGCACAAACAGCTACAGAAGGAAAGTTCAACAAGAAATCAATAACAACACTACACAGACTCTGTTTTATAGCTTTGAATCAACTATGGAGCACGTTTTGAACAGAAGAGAAGAAAAGGTGTCATTCTCCAAGGCAGCTGCTGGCTCTCATTCTTTAAGGGTTTGCTGTTTGCTGTAGCAAACAGCAGTTGCTGCTTTAAAAAAAAAAATCCAATTTTTTATTTATTTTGTTTCTTTTTTTGCTTCCTTATCTTTTTCTGCTGTTTTGAAAAACTGCATTTAAGCTGAAGGTTTTTTTTCTGTATTTTTTCTCCCCACTTTTTTTCCCCTTAAAGCCAGAGAATGAGCAAGGTCGTAGAACTTCTCTAGAAAAGTTCACGCGCAGTGTGGTAAGTTCCTTATTTTTTTTTCTTTCCTCAGCATTTTACTTTTAGTTGTGGGGTGTTGGTGCTTAACTTTTTAGTTCTTTTTTAATTTTTTTGCAGATAGCCTTTTTGCAGCTTTTCTTTTAATTCAGTAGCTCATCAAAACTGTAGCTCTTTAAAAAGGGGAGGGGAGGGGAGCAGAATTCCATAATGTGCATTCTGGATAACAGTCACAACATCAATAGGCCAATTTAGGTTAGCGTTAAAAGGCAGGTTGTGGTTTTGCTATTTTCACACTACAATATTTGTTATGGCTTCCCCTGCACATTGTAGTAGGACAGCATGGTTATAATAGCATCATTTGTATTGTATCTTTATTGATTTCTATGCATGGTTAATGATAACATATATATATAAAAACATATATACCCATATTGCACCTTTTATATATCAACTGCAACAACTTCCTTGGTAGCCCAGATTTGTTGGTGGTGTTGTAAGAAGGTGATGTATGAAGATGATAGTCAGAATGTGGTTGAATCTGTAAGAAGCTATGTTCAGTACAAGATTTTGTGAAAAGAACATGATCTTTATTACATTTTCATAACACCTTTGTAATGAAGGGATTGTACTATGTGTACATACAGTACATATGCTCACATTTGTGTGTGTACATACATGTATGTATATTTATATATAATACATATGTATGCACCATATATATAAAGATAAAATATTTGCATACACAGATAGAAAAGGGGAAACTACTCAGGTAAGTGTGAGCTATAATACAATGTGTAGGCATCAAGGGGGTCTTTCTGATGCTGTCATAACTATACAAGCGAAACTCAGTTGTGACATCTGATATGTCTGCAGACTCCAGAGATGTGTGTTAGCTCTACTGGCAGGTTTCTTCTGTAGTGCTTTAATATAGTTAATGCATATGATAGACATAAAAAAACATGTTTACAATACAATCATATACAAAATATTACTCAGCCAATCTGTGTGTGTATGTGTGGGTGTGTATATTCTAAAATTGTCAGAAAGCGAGAGAGAAGAAAATGAAAAGAAATATAGTATAGATATTTTTACACTTGGAGCCAGATTCTGCTCCCAGTTATGCTCATATATACTGAGAGTAACTCAGTGACTTCTGTGGAGTAACTGGTTTTACAGTAGCATAACTGAGAGCAGAATATGGAACTTAGGTTTTTGATTTCAAGGTTAGTATGAAAATCTTATCTTGGAGTGCTAGGATTATGATATAAAAGATTCATAGATTCATAGATTCTAGGACTGGAAGGAACCTCGAGAGGTCATCGAGTCCAGTCCCCTGCCCTCATGGCAGGACCAAATACTGTCTAGACCATCCCTAATAGACATTTATCTAACCTACTCTTAAATATCTCCAGAGATGGAGATTCCACAACCTCCCTAGGCAATTTATTCCAGTGTTTAACCACCCTGACAGTTAGGAACTTTTTCCTAATGTCCAACCTAAACCTCCCTTGCTGCAATTTAAGCCCATTGCTTCTTGTTCTATCCTTAGAGGCTAAGGTGAACAAGTTTTCTCCCTCCTCCTTATGACACCCTTTTAGATACCTGAAAACTGCTATCATGTCCCCTCTCAGTCTTCTCTTTTCCAAACTAAACAAACCCAATTCTTTCAGCCTTCCTTCATAGGTCATGTTCTCAAGACCTTTAATCATTCTTGTTGCTCTTCTCTGGACCCTCTCCAATTTCTCCACATCTTTCTTGAAATGCGGTGCCCAGAACTAGACACAATACTCCAGTTGAGGCCTAACCAGCGCAGAGTAGAGCGGAGGAATGACTTCTCGTGTCTTGCTCAAAACACACCTGTTAATACATCCCAGAATCACATTTGCTTTTTTTGCAACAGCATCACACTGTTGACTCATATTTAGCTTGTGGTCCACTATAACCCCTAGATCCCTTTCTGCCGTACTCCTTCCTAGACAGTCTCTTCCCATTCTGTATGTGTGAAACTGATTGTTCCTTCCTAAGTGAAGCACTTTGCATTTGTCTTTGTTAAACTTCATCCTGTTTACCTCAGACCATTTCTCCAATTTGTCCAGATCATTTTGAATTATGACCCTGTCCTCCAAAGCAGTTGCAATCCCTCCCAGTTTGGTATCATCCGCAAACTTAATAAGCGTACTTTCTATGCCAATATCTAAGTCGTTAATGAAGATACTGAACAGAGCCAGTCCCAAAACAGACCCCTGCGGAACCCCACTTGTTATGCCTTTCCAGCAGGATTGGGAACCATTAATAACAACTCTCTGAGTACGGTTATCCAGCCAGTTATGCACCCACCTTATAGTAGCCCCATCTAAATTGTATTTGCCTAGTTTTCTAAGTGATTTTTAACTTGTTCTTTTTTTATTTTATCTGCTAAACTTACCCCCTTCCCATTAGCATTCACTATGTTAGGCATTCCTTCAGACTTCTTGGTGAAGACCGAAACAAAGAAGTCATTAAGCATCTCTGCCATTTCCAAGTTTCCTGTTAATGTTTCTCTCTCTTCACTGAGCAGTGGGCCTACCCTGTCTTTGATCTTCCTCTTGCTTCTAATGTATTGATAAAAAGTCTTCTTGTTTCCCTTTATTCCTGTAGCTAGTTTGAGCTCATTTTGTGCCTTTGCCTTTCTATTCTTGCCCCTGCATTCCTGTGTTGTTTGCCTATATTCATCCTTTGTAATCCGTCCTAGTTTCCATTTTTTATATGACTCATTTTTATTTTTTAGATCATGCAAGATCTCGTGGTTAAGCCAAGATGGTCTTTTGCCACATTTTCTATCTTTCCTAACCAGCGGAATAGCTTGCTTTTGGGCCCTTAATAGTGTCCCTTTGAAAAACTGCCAACTGTCCTCAGTTGTTTTTCCCCTCAGTCTTGATTCCCATGGGACCTTACCTATCAGCTCTCTGAGCTTACCAAAATCTGCCTTCCTGAAATCCATTGTCTCTATTTTGCTGTACTCCCTTCTACCCTTCCTTAGAATTGCAAACTCTATGATTTCATGATCACTTTCACCCAAGCTGCCTTCTACTTTCAAATTCTCAATGAGTTCCTCCCTATTTGTTAAAATCAAGTCTAGAACAGCTTCCCCCCTAGTAGCTTTTTCAACCTTCTGAAATAAAAAGTTGTCTGCGATGCAGTCCAAGAATTTGTTGGATAGTCTGTGCCCCGCTGTGTTATTTTCCCAACATATATTTGGATAGTTGAAGTCCCCCATCACCACCAAATCTTGGGCTTTGGATGATTTTGTTAGTTGTTTAAAAAAAGCCTCATCCACCTCTTCCACCTGGTTAGGTGACCTGTAGTAGACTCCTAGCATGACATCACCCTTGTTTTTTACCTCTTTTAGCCTAACCCAGAGACTCTCAACACTTCCGTCTCCTATGTCCATCTCCACCTCAGTCCAAGTGTGTACATTTTTAATATATAAGGCAACACCTCCTCCCTTTTTCCCCTGTCTATCCTTCCTGAGCAAGCTGTATCCATCCACACCAACATTCCAATCATGTGTATTATCCCACCAAGTTTCAGTGATGCCAACAATGTCATAGTTGTATTTATTTATTAGCACTTCCAGTTCTTCCTGCTTATTACCCATACTTCTCACATTTGTATATAGGCATCTAAGATACTGGTTTGATCTTGCCTCCCAGTTTTGCCCTGACCCTCCTTTCTCTCTGCCATTATAGCCCACCTCCTTCTTGTTTCCGACCCATCTCCCAGGTCTCCATATTCCCCACTTACCTGTGGGCTTTGCTCACTTGTCCCCGTTGAACCTAGTTTAAAGTCAAGGCAATCATCATAGATTGATCTATAGTTTAGATATTGCAGTATTATTGGTAAAAAAAAAAAACTGTACATGATTTCCTTGTCTTTTATAGCTGGTATAAATTGGTTTAGCTGTACTTTAATTTTTATGGATCTATGCCAATTTATACCACCTGAAAATCTGACCCATATGATTTTTAACCTGTCATTGTCACTTTAAGCAAAAGAATTGTTCTTGTTTAAAATCTTATGAGATCAATAAGCCGTTTTAAACAACACAGAAAAACTGGATCTCTGATAATATTACAGACTACTAATTTCCCCCCCTTATGCCTACCGTCATGTGATCAAAACTCTTTTGGTCTGATTTGCAGTTACACCATTTGTGCACTAGAGACAGGGCTGGGGGTGATAGTTTTAAGCCATCTTTGTGCTCACTGTATTCAGGAACCAGGCAAGCACTGACCAGGCCTCTGTTGCAAATTGGGGCTGTTCTAATTTATGGTCTGCTTCCCCAGGCCACCTAAGTGCCCTGGGAAACTGAGACTAGGCATAAGCAAGTGCAGCCCACTCACGTCCTAACATGTCCACAATGTGCCTTCTTTACTGTGCGCTGAGAGCACAGACAGCACCAAGCCCTTTTGTTGGTATTATATCAGTAGAGGAGGACCTCTAAACCAAGGGATATTCACTGGGGGCTGTATCCACACCGTTTAAGTCTCTTTATGTTGCCATAAAACGAGCCTTAGTGTAAGTGAAAATTGGACCCTCCATGTTTCTCTGTTGTGGCTTATTATATGTCATAGTTCCTTGTTGTCAGGGCCTGGGAAGTAGGTGGTCTGACACAGTGGTCAGAGCAGGAGTTGGGCAATGGGAGCAAGGATCAGAACCAGAGGATGGATGCCAGAGCCAAGGGTCAAGCCAGAGTCAAAGCCAGGAATCAGGACCAGAGTCAGAGGCCAGAGTTGAATTAGAGTCAGAGAGTCAGTCAAGCCAAGGGTCAGAGAACAGGAGCAGGAACCAGGAAAAAGGCAGGGCTGAAGTCAGGAACCACATCAAGGCTGGGAGTAGCAACAGCAAGCCAGGATCCACTTTGTTGCACAGAGAACTTCTTGTATCCCTTCTGGCTTAAATAGTGTTCCTGGTCCAATCAGTGGCTCCAGACATCCTCCAACCAGGGCCTTGTGGGTGGTACTTTCAGTGGAATGTAAGGC